TAAATATACATAAAATAAAATAAAAGATGACCCAATTAAAAATAAAAATAAATGGTAAAATAAAATAAGAAAAATATTAAAATGAAAGAAAAAAGATAAAATAAAGTTCTAAAACAATAAATAAATAAATAAATAAAAGGAAAAAGAAATTAACCATGAACAAAAAGGTAAGAAAATGAAAAAATAATGAATCAAAATAAAAAAACAAATAAAAATTTAAAAAATGAAAAGGGATGACAAAATAGAAAAAAATTTAGTTTAGAAAATACAAGAAAAAATATATATAAGAAGTAATAAGAAAAATTAACAAAGGAAAAAAGTTAATATAAAATAAAAATAAAAACAAAAGAAGAAAGTGCAAAAAAAATGGAAACAAGAAATAAAAAGAAATTTGTGAAAAAAAGAGAAAATCAAGAAAAAAGAAAAAAAGTATATAGAAAATTTTAAAACAAAGAAAAAGGTGAAAACAAAAAAAAATATGAAAGCACAGGAAAAATAAGTAAAAAAAAAATTTTTAAAAGGAAAAAAGTTAATGAAAAATTATAAAAATGCAATAGAAAATAGCCAACAAATGATAAAATAAAAAAAAAAAAGCAAAAGAAAAGATAAAGAGATGAAAAAATAAAAAATCCAAAACATTATAAAAATTTATAAAAAATAAAAATAAAAATAAAATAAGAAAAAATATTAAGCAAAAAAAAAAATAAAGTACAAAAAAAGAAAAAAATAATACCAATAAGAAAAAATTTTAAAATATACAAAAATACAATAAAAATAAAAAATGAGAAATGAAAAAATAATGACTCAAAAATAAAAATAAAAAAAGAAAAGGAAAATGAATGACAAAATGAAAAAAATTAGTATGAAAAATACAAAAAAATGAAAAAAATAATAAGAAAATAGTATAAAAAATCAAAGACAAAAAAATTAAAAAAGAGAAAAGTTAATATAAAATAAAAGTGAAAACCAAAGAAGGAAGTGGAAAAAAATAAAATAAAAAGAAATTTGTGAAAAAAAAAAAAAGCAAGAGAAGAATAAAAATTAAAACAAAAAAAATGAAAGCATATGAAAAAATAAGTAAAAAGAAAGAAAATTTATAGGAAAAAAAGTTATTGAAAAATAATAAAATAGAACAAGAAATGAGAAAATAAAAAAATAAAAAAAAAAAAAGAAAAAAAGATTCAAAAAATAAAAAATAAAAAAATTCAAAACTTTATAATTTTTTTAAAATATAAATAAAAAAGGAAAAAATAAAATAAAATACTAACGAAAAAAGCAATAAAAATAAGAAAAGCAATTAGAAATAAACAAAAAAAAAATAAAAAATTAACAAATCAACAAAATAATTAAAAAAAAATGAATAAAAATTTAAAAAAATAAACAGGAATGTCAAAATAGAAAAAAACTTTTAGTTTAGAAAATACAAAGAAAAACAAAAAAAAAACAAATATAGAAAAAATATAAAAAATCAAAGAAAAGTTAACACGAAATATAATAAAAACAAAATGAAGTGTGAAAAAAGATATAAGAATAAGTAAAAAATAAAAAAATAAAAATACTAAATATATAAAATAAAATCAAAATAAAAAACAAAATAAAAATTTCAAAATGAAATGGGATGACAGAATATAAAAAATTTAGTTAGAAAATACAAGCTAATATATATATATATATAAGAAGTAATAAGAAAACTTAACAAAGAAAAAAGTTAATACAAAATAAAAATAAAAACTAAAAAAACAAGGAAGTGCAAAAAAAATGGAAACAAGAAATAAAAAGAAAAAAATGAAAAGACAAATATGAAATAAAACAAAAAGAAAAAAAATATATAGAAAATTTTAAAACAAAGTAAAAGGTGAAAACAAAAAAATATGAAAGTACATGAAAAAATAAGTAAAAAAAAGGAAGAAAAATTTAAAAGGAAAAAAAGTTAATAAAAAATTATAAAAATGCAATAGAAAATAGCCAACAAATGATAAAATAAAAAAAAGAAAAGAAAAGATAAAAAGATGAAAAAAAAAAAATCAAAACCTTATAAAAATTTATGAAAATATAAATAAAAAATAAAAATAAATAAAAAAATAAAAATAAGAAAAAATATTAAAGCAAAAGAAAAAAGATAAATAAAGTACAAAAAAAAAGAAAAAAATCAATACCAATAAGAAAAGAAAAAAATTAAAAATATACAAAAATATAATAAAAATAAAAAAAGTGAGAAATGAAAAAATAACGACTCAAAAATAAAAAATAAAAAATGAATAACAATTTCAAAAATGAAAAGGAATGACAAAATGAAAAAAAAAAGTATAAAAAATACAAAAAATAAAAAAATAATGAGAAAGCAGTATAAAAAATCAAAGACAAAAAAATTAAAAAAGAAAAGTTAATATAAAATAAAAATGAAAACCAAAGAAGGAAGTGCAAAAAAAAAGTATGAGAATTTAAAAACGCAAATAAGAAATAAAAAAATTTGTGAAAAAAATAAGAAAAGCAAGAGAAGAATAAAAATTAAAACAAAAAAATGAAAGCATATGAAAAAATAAGTAAAAAGAAAGAAAAATTTGTAGGAAAAAAAGTTATTGAAAAATAATAAAATAGGACAAGAAATGAGTAAATAAAAAAAAAAAAATAAAAAAATTCAAAACTTTATAAAATTTTTTTAAAATATAAATAAAAAAGGAAAAATAAAAAAAATACTAACAAAAAAGCAATAAAATAATAAAAGTAATTAGAAATAAACAAAAAAAATAAAAAATTAACAGATCAACAAATTAATAAAAAATGATTAAATGATTAAAATTTTCAAAAATAAATAGGAATGTCAAAATAGAAAAAACTTTTAGTTTAGAAAATACAAAGAAAAACAAAAAAATAAATATAGAAAAAAAGATATAAAAACGAAGAAAAGTTAATACAAAATATAATAAAACAAAATGAAATGAGAAAAAGATATAAAAAAGTTATAAAAAAATGAAAATACTAAATATATAAATAAAATCAAAATAAAAAAATTTTCAAAAATGAAAAGGGATGACAAAATAGAAAAAAATTTAGTTTAGAAAATACAAGCAAAAAAATATATATATAAGAAGTAATAAGAAAACTTAACAAAGGAAAAAAGTTAAAACAAAACAAGGAAGTGCAAAAAAAAAAAAATGGAAACAAGAATTAAAAAGAAATTTGTGAAAAAATGAAAAAAACAAGAAAAAAAATAAAAATTAGAAAACCTACCCATTTCTTCTTAACTTCTTTTTTCCTTTTGGTTATTTTATTGCCAAAATCTCATCTACTTTCATGTACATGTTACACCCATTCTTTCTACTTGTGAAGTATGGCTTTTCATGATTCTGTGGGTATGGCTATTGAGAGATTATTTCTTCAGGCTACCTCTCGTTCTTTTTTTCCTCCACTGTTTATATTTTGCTCTTTCCTTGCCACGAAATTGTTTTGATCGTTACTGTTTTTGAGTACTCCATCTGCTCTTCACCATGTTGTAAATCGAAAATTTTCAAACTAAAGTTGGAATATTTGGTGGCTTTGCCGTACTTGACAATGAAAATTTCTTCTTTCATCATATATGATAGTAGAAAAAATAATCTTTATAATGAACATACTTGCCCCAGCTCTTACTTTGATCTTGTTATCAAATTATTAGGGATAACAACAGGTTGGATTAGGGCATCCTCTAAGCTGGTTTAGGTAGTATGTATTTGGATGGTAAGATTAGGACATCCTAAAAGTCGGTTTGGGTAGTATGGCTTGGACCGGTATTCCGATAGTAAATATTATTAATCGTTTGTAGGTTGCCATAAAGTTCGGATAGTGTTTTAAGGGTACTATTATCCGAACTTGATTATAAATATAATATTTTTAATATTACAATTTATTTAAAAAATTATTTATTATTGAAGGGCAATACTTAAATTAATTCATTAAGTGTTCTATTTATAATTTAGCTTTATTTATTTATATGATTATTTCATTTATTAATTTAATTTCTTTTAATAATATTTTTAAACTCATTTTAAATTTGAATTTAAATTTTAAATTTTAACTTAATAAATGAATATTTAATGAGTTTGAATAATAATGGGTTTTTTTTATATATTATGTGAGTTAGATTTAGATAATAAAATTAAAAATTATTTGAGTATTTATTGAATTCAAATATTTTAATAAATAAAAAAATTTGAATACTTAAAATTAACATATATCCTATCTATTGTCATTCATAAGATTCGTAACACAATTTATAAAGCAAGCTTCCCTGCTAGTTTCAAACCGAAGAAAAACATGTTCTATTTCTTCCTCTAGAATCATCATAAGAATTAAAATATTTTTGTGATCTTTGATTTAACATGTAATGCAAAGATAATATGATTATTTAAAATGGCAAATTTTGGTATTCACTCTATTTTTGTTTAGCTATTATTTGAAGTGAAAGTTTTCTCCAATTGTTTCCGATTAGTTTGTACTTTGAAACAGCTTACTTGCATGATATCAAAACATCAAACATATTTTATTAGTGATTGAGGTTGTCTTTTAGTATGTCGAATTCAAAAACAAGCCAAAGTGACCTTTTTAATTGATATCTGATACTAACATAGATGATTAGAAAATGATTGGGCCTACGAAAAAAGACAAGGAGAGAATTATAAAATTAAGTACTTCATAAAAATATTTATTATTTGATTTTATAATAAAATAATTAATAAAAATATTTATAAGTAAAATTAATAAAAAGTTAAAATTACATCTCAATATTTAAATGTACATATATTTTGATTAAATGTATATGTAACATAAAATAATCATTTAAATTTTAAATTAACACCTATTAAACATTAAAGTGATAAAAATAAATTATATTTTTATTAATTTTATATGTTAAATTATGATATCAATTAATAAAAATTTGTGAGATCACCTTTTAGTAAATTTTCTGTCAAACAAATGAACCAACGGCCCATATATATTAATCAAAAAGTTATTTATTTATTCCTTTTAATTTTACTTTTGTTCAAGCTTCTTGTTGACCGTAGGGTTGAAGCAGCAGATAACGCCACCACTCTATTCTCTCTCTTGCAAGCCCCTAACTCTCACTTCATCATGTCTCAATCTTCTCATTTTTTTTCTCTTACGATTCTTGTTTTTCTTCTAAAATTTTCTAATTTTCTTCAACAATGGGAGCTTCGTTGCCTCCAAAGGAAGCTAATCTCTTCAAACTCATTGTCGTAAGGCTTCGATTCTCTTTTCTCTCTCATTTTTCAGTTCGTATCTACGTATTTCTAGTTGGTATTTATACTTGTATTTTGCTTTCTTATTTTTTGTTTATTCGATCGCACTTCTTTTTTCTTTTTGTTCTTTGCTTGCAAAACCCTAGCTGGATACTGGTCTGTTTGCTTGCTGAGAAAATCGGTGGATATCAATTATAAATGGAAATTTGGACTAGATAAGCTTGTTTGTCAATTAGGTTTTTGCTTTTGGGCAATTTTTCGTATAAATTAAGTTCATTTTCTTTGTTCTGTTTAGCGATTGAAGCTTAATTAAGTTTATTGCTTTGCTTAATTTAGGTCAATGAATTCGATTTTGTTGAAAAGCAACTTTAAAAAATTGAATTTTGCTTTGACCTTTTTTTTTTTAAAGTAAGGATGCTCGTTGTGCTTTCCTTTTGGTGATAATTCATTTGTATCATCACGGAGAAAATTAGAGAAATGAAAATAAAAGGGTTTGGTGACTCTTCCTACTTTAGTAATTTCTCTTGCATGTTGCCAACTTTTTAAAATAGGAATTTTGTTGGTTCCTAATGGGAAACAATTGTGGCATTTTGGCTTTGATGCACATAAGCATTCAAGACAATAACAAACTTTGTGAAACAATCTATTTAAGAATTTGATAAATTGACTGGGACAATTTTTAATGTAATTGTAGGCTTTGCAGGTTAAACTTGAATATTTATATATTTTAAGAACTTGTTCGTATTAGATATAGAATAGCAACATTTGGATGTTTTCCACACGCTATTGAGAGTTTTCCCCCCTTCCCTCTTATTTCTTCTAATTTATAGTGAAAACTAGAGTTTTGACGGGTGAATTCTTACTCTATTTTAACTTCTATAGTAATGGACTCTTGACACAGTTTTTTTGCCTGATTTTTATGTAATTAATATTTATCTGTTATTATACTCTAGCTAATTCTCATAACTGAATTTTTATTGCTTTGGAGGTCCATGTGCTATTGCTAAAGCTCTTGTATATTTTATCATTGCAGAAATCATATGAAACTAAACAGTACAAGAAAGGACTGAAGGCTGCAGATGCAATACTGAAAAAGTTTCCTGACCATGGAGGTAGTTTAATTTTAAGCACTTATTTATTTATTTGTTTTTGGCTGAGAGGCACTTATTGTTTAGTGTTTATGTTTGCATGGTTCTTGTAAATGTACCTGTATAAAGATGCAAGAACTCTGAAACAAAAAGAACTTTACACTTTAGAGGAAAAAGGGGCTGTCACTAGATAGTTTATGTTGTTATCAAGGTTATTGGTTTCAATAATCCTTACAAGAATGCCTCTAAGTTTGACATGATTGTTTCTGTAGACTGTATGTTCCTTTCTCATGTCTTATGATTGATGTCAATTGCATTTTTGAAAGCACTAGCTGTATGGTGACTAGTCCATGATTTATGATGGTTCTAGAGATAAGTGGAACATTCTAGCAGTATCAATGTGGAGATATTCTCTATCAACTGAATATATTGCATTAATTTCGGGTATATAACTACATTTTTAACCTATACAGTTTGAAATCTGCAATATTTGAATACCTTCTTCATCTTGGTTGGGTTTTGTGAATATTCATTAGTGTGCGGTATTGGTAGAGTGTAGTAGCGTTTTGTTTAATATATCCATCCTTTTAAATATGCAGTTTCCAAGTAATATTTTATACTATCTGGTAACTGTTTGTTTGTTGTGTTTGTATGTTGTCATATGGGCTTTTATTCATTATTGTCAGAAACATTGTCAATGAAGGGGTTAACCTTAAATTGCATGGATCGGAAAACTGAAGCTTATGAGCTTGTTCGGCTAGGTGTAAAGGTTATCTTATTTATTTTCTTTTGGTTGCTATAATGTCAAAGCAGTGTCACTTTTTCCTAACATTGTTTTCATGTTTGTGTCTTAATGTAGAATGATGTAAAAAGTCATGTTTGCTGGCACGTTTATGGTCTCCTATCGGTCAGATAGAGAATACAGGGAGGCTATCAAATGCTATCGCAACGCTTTGAGAATAGATCCAGACAACATTGAAATACTACGGGACTTGTCACTCTTGCAGGTATACCTTATTTACCTTCCTTCTCTATGATTTGTACATCTAGACTCAGTGTTAAATCTAAGATGTTTATCTGTTGTATGCTTAATGTTAAGTAAGAACATTACTTGTCATGGTATTTTTCGAACATTTAATGGAGTTTCTCTGTATAAGATTTCTTGTAAGCTTTGTGGTTTGCCTAAAAGATTTTTCAGATTCCATTGTAGAATTTGAGAATCTCAAGTATTAGGGTACTTATAGGCAAGTCAATATTGCAGCTAAAATAGTTTGGTGCCAACTTTTGTGCAACTGTAAGTTTCGTGGTAGTTGGTAAGGGCAGGTTCATTGTGGTAACTTAATATAACTGGATGAAAACACCAAGATCAGCTACATAGTTAGTAGTGAAGTGAAAATAAATTTTATGAAATTTGAAGCTGTTTAGTTGCTTGACGGAATCTACTAGTAGATGGATAGAAAAGGCATAATTATATTAAGATAGTAACAAAAGAGACGAAGATATATGGCTTAAAACAGAGGAATGGAATTTATGGAGATAACTCAACTAAAAGGGAGAGGCTGTATGAGACCATGAAAAAAATATCTTCTTAAACACTTAGAAAGTAGATGAGTCAGCTGGTTTTATAACTTTGAAAATTTAGATCATAGTTTTGGTAGAAACAATTTATGGCTTTAGGGGAAGGAAAAGGATATAACAGACATCATCTGATATTCTGGCAGCAGATTAATATGAGAGATGGTTCAGATTTAGTATCTTAATTGAAGGTTTTGTTTTGAGGCACACGCAAAAATAAAACATAAGTAATATAATCAGAAGCAACCAGTCTGATTTGATCCTTTCGTTCTCATTATACTGTAACAAGCAACCACCTCGAATTGATAGTTTCTGGTCTACCGCCACAGATCCTTTTTCTCTCATTCTACTAGTTCCTTAATGGTTGAAAGTGTTTATAGAATGACAAGTAATATAATCGGAAGCAACCAGTCTAATATGATCCTTTCATTCTCATTATCCTGTAAGAATCAACCACCTTGAATTGATACTTTCTGGTCTACCGCCACAGAACTTTTTTCTCTCTCATTCTACTAGTTCCTTAATGGTTGAAGGTTTTAACATGAATGACCTTTGCAATTAGAAAGTGTTTATACTTTCTGGATCAGATCTGGTTCGGTTCTTCTCTTAATTCATCTGCCATGTGCCTTACTGCTCCAGAATAGTAACAAAAGTCGGCGTCTTTGATACTGAAATTGATGATTTTCATTTCTATTATTCTCCTCGATGCTTTAGCGCTTGCCATATTATGGATTCTTAACTCATGATTTCAGATGATTAAGTCATTTGTTGGCATTAACTTATTTGTGCCCCCCCCCCCCCCCCCTTTTTATTTATGGTTTATATGCCTTGAAAAGTTAAAGGAAAAAGTATGAAGATGATGAGCATTTGTCTTTCTACTAAGATATGAAGTTTGAGAGAAATTTTTTGGATTTGATCATGGTTTTGTATTTTCTCATTGTCATGTTTCAGGTTATTTCAGAAATTATTACATTTATATTTTATCTTTTGCATTGCAGGCACAAATGCGAGATTTGACAGGATTTGTTGATACAAGACAACAACTTTTGCATTTGAAACCAAATCATTGCATGAACTGGATTGGCTTTGCTGTAGCCCACCATTTAAACTCAAAGTACTTGTCCTTTATTTTTTTCTTAAAAAAATTTGTTCCAATTCTTATGTTAACTTTCACCAATTTCTGTTGACTTTTATTTTGTGAAACATGTTTTAGAGTGTTGTTATTGTTATGTATACTTGAAGGTCCAAATTGAAGGGCCTTTTGGTATTGAAAGTTGAAATATTTGTTGATATAATGAAAGCCTTTCTTTAAATTAAATGCTTAATCAGGACTTAATGTTTCTAATTATATGATCAAATGGGTGCTAACATGGATGAAATTACTGTTGATTTTTAACACGTGGTTAATATTGTTTGTATGACTTCAACTAAACATCCAATAAGATATCAAACTTCTTTTATGACAATATATGGTGGGTGTAGAATGTGTTAAAGATGTTACTAATATGTACAGATAGGTGGGTCGATAGATAGGTACCCTACTATTCTAAGCTGGTTGCACTTGCATTTATGAAATTTGGTTGCCAATTAGCCTTTTACAAACAATGCCTAGTTAACTGCAGAGTTCTGTTGTTTTTGCTATAGTTTTATATGGAGACAATGATGATGCCATATTTTCATTTGGCTTTATATATGAATGAATTGAAGTTGTTGGCACAACAGTTATGAGGGTTTTTCCTTTTCTGTCCCTGTCTTAGCCAAGTAGTTCTAAGTGAATGAAGTCTTATTAATTTCATTCATCCTTTAGGTATTTATGCTGTATTCCTTTTTTTGGTTGATATTAGTGGTGCAAAAGCAGTTGAAATTTTGGAAGCATTTGAAGGGACATTAGAAGATGATTATCCACCAGATAATGAACGTTGTGAGCATGGTGAAATGCTTTTATATTAGGTATTGGTTATGTACTTCAACTCTTTTTTTTTGCATGCATATGTATGTGGGATGTGGCTGTAATTTCACATGAGTTGACTTCATTATACAGACATTCAAAATTTTAGAATTTATACTAAAGTATAATGGGAGTGACTGATTTGGTGTCACTTGTTAACCAGATGCCAACACAGTTAGTGAAATTATCCATAAATCAAATAAAGTAATTAAATATACGAAAATTAAAGATTTTTAATGCCTTTACCTTCTTTATAAATGTGGTCCCATTTTTGAATTAATTCTAATTTTTTTCACATGCAATTAGAAAACCTACCCATTTCTTCTTAACTTCTTTTTTCCTTCTGCTTATTTTATTGCCAAAATCTCCGTCTACTTTCATGTACATGTTACACCCATTCTTTCTACTTGTGAAGTATGGCTTTTCATGATTCTGTGTATGGCTGATAAGTTAAATTAAATCATCTCCAAGTTTACTTTAATCTGAGATGGAGGACTAACTAGTGGCCTATAGTGGTATTTGGCATCTATAAGATATTTAATTCTTGATGTATTCATGTTAGAGAGAAATATGGCTTGTTCACTAATTGTTGGGCCTTCTACAAGTAATCATATCTGTGGTGTTTGTACTTAGCAGCTCTGAATCTTAATAATTGCTAATCTCCAATTTTATGTTCTGGTGGAACCATTTCGGAATTTTGTTTCTGACATCTTAATAAATTAGTCTATCTTTCTTTTTGACTACTCTTTTTTGGTTTAACACCATTAACATGATTTGAAAACAGCTTAACCAATTGGACAAGTACCTACAAGCCTTAAGCCCTTGCAGTAGCATTTATTTCTTTTAATAATATATTGGCATAGAAATATGCATAACTACATTCATTATGCATAATGGATGCTGTACATCAGACTAGTGGTGCCCCCTGCTGCTTTTTCTGATGTTTATGAGGGTATGGTATTTTTCTCTCAGATCTCTTTGCTAGAGGAATCTGAGTTTCTTGAGAGAGCACTTGAGGAATTGTATAAGAAAGAAAGCCAAAAATAGTAAGTGTCAAATGTATAATGCCTGAATACTTTTAACACTAAAAATTTTTGTAAGTTTTGAATTTTTGGACATTAAAATTCTAACCAATTTCTATTATTCTAGGTTGATAAATTGACTTATAAAGAACAAGAGGTTTCTCTCCTGGTGAAACTTGGATGCCTAGAAGAAGGTGCCAATATTTACAAGGCTTTACTTACCATGAACCCTGACAATTACAGGTGAGTCTTATGCATTTGGTACTCTTTTGAAACACCTAGTTAAGCTCAATTAATAAATCTTTCATAGCAAAGAATATTAGTCAACTCTTTCCTTTTATATAGCACTTCTTGAAGTTATAATTGACTTCTTTTTCTCAATGCCGTGGTGTATTATTATTGTAGGAAATGAAGAATAATTAATATTCTGAATAGTTTGTGTGTTTAAATATATTTTTTTTGGGCTAATAGGTTTTTCAATCTCTTCTTGTAGTAACACCCAAATTCCTTTACCTATGTTAGAACTTTATGAGGGTTAAAAGAATGGTAGAAATAGTCATTATTTTTTTATGTTCTATTTTCGTTGGTGCTTTAAGCTTGAAACTAATCAGTGTGTATCCCTTATGTCACAAATTCAATCGTTTTTTTAGTTTTTAAATTTTGTTTCTTTAAGCTTTTGCTTATACTTGTGCATGTTACATTTACATCATGGTATCTTTACATAAAATGAGGTTATTTTTTTTTTTTCATTCTTGGGATTGTTTTATATCTCTCTGTCCTGTCAAGCCCTTTGCTTAGCTCTTTTAGTAAAAAGAAGCATTATGCACCACCTCATATATAAATATAATTAAAAATAGCAAAGCAACTATGAGCAGAACTGTAATTCTATACTCCTATATGTGTCAACAGTCTCTTGGGTGCTTTCTCAGATTGGGAAATGAGGAAAATTCTTTTACAGAACTGTTAAATTATGTCTCTTCACTCCGTATATGCTTATATATCGGTGCAATTTATTGCTATTGATGAAGTTGTTTGAGAATGCATTAGGAGAATGTACTACAAAAGAAATTCCTGGGTTGTGGTTTCTTCATTCATGAGTGTGCCTAGTTGTCATCTGTTTGTCTCTTTGAAGCTATATGGGCTATGTGCTCCAAGCATACCTTGCAGGATAGAAGGAATTAAAGTTTCAAAATTTCTATGTCTGTGTGTTTGTTGGTTTTATTCTGCAAGTTGGCTTCTAGATTTCATTCCCATAGCTTCTGGTTAATGTCTAATTTTTTGTTGTAGTGCTTTTGACTTGCTGGAGTTTAATCTGAACTTCAATTAATATTTGATCTCTTATGCTTTAACATTCCATTTAAATTTTAGTTTTATCTTTTGTGTACAGATTGTAGTTTTGTAAACTTTTCTTAATTGTGGTTGCATTTAGTAGTCTATACGGAAATTAGTTGATCGTGTACTCCGAACACGATTTGCTAGAGAGAGGAATTAGAGATTGTATAGCAGTGTACTCCAAATTTGTATGGTTGAGTTTTTTATTTTTTTATTTTGCTTGTTCAACTCTGTTGCATGACAAATTGTAATCTTAGGTTTAATTTCAAAAACTTAATCCAGCCTAGCACTGAAGATGAGTGCTTACAATGAAGAGTACCTCTTTCTTCTTGTGTTGTGTTTTGATTCTTCTTGTTTTGCTGATTTCACTTTATTTTGTTGCATGAGGGATTACTTTCTTAAGATTAATTTCATAAACTTAAATCTAGTTAAGCACTGAGATGGAAGATTGCCTCTTTCTTATTGGATTCTTTGAAAATCTATGATCTTGCATAGAATTTTTGTTGTATTGTATGGTAACTTTCGATGATAACTGTACTTGTTCTAGTACATTTCAGATCATGAAGAGTTTGATTAAAGTTGCTAAAATTCTATGTTTCTGATTATAATATAGACTTTCTTTTCTTAAGGAACACTGTTATTATTGGAAGCACCCTGACTTATGATGTGGTTGGTGGCTGTTGTTTTTTAACGTTGGTATATAATTGTTGTATATTTATGTTGAGATGCAAACTACCTCTTATCTTTGGCCTTTCATTATAGTCTTTTCTTGTTAAGTTTTTGTTGCTTTGGTTTTAATTTCTCTTTAGGTTCTTAAAGGCCTTCTACTTTCGTATCTTTTGGGTTTCGAGTTAAAACATTTATAATCTTTGATTTGTGAACAATGGATGTGATTAGGTTTATTTTGCAGGCAGTCTTTGCCTTGAATCTTTTTGCTTTAGGATTAGTTCATTATGGTCTTAAATCATGAAGTTCAAGTTTGATTCTTTATTTCTAAAATAGCATTGTTCTCTATATATGTGGCATGTTGCTTGTGTTTTAACTTAAATGCAGATCACCCTATTATTAAACATTGTTGAATGAGACTTTGACTTCATTAAAAATAGAAGGTGTTATGTGCATGTATATTAATTAGATATCTAATTAAGATCTTGTATTTTATTTTGAAATTTGTTTTTATTTATCGTGTATTTTATTTAATTAACAAAATTATATTGTATAATATTTATCTTTTATTTAATACAATTTGGATTATTTTATTTATTACTTATTATTTATTTTATTTATTATTTATTATTTTTCTATCTTTTTTTCTTTTTTTTTTTATTTTATCATTGTTGGTTATTATCTGTTGCATTTTTATAAATTTTCATTAACTTTTTTTCATTTTTTATTTTTTTCTTGCTTTTTCTTATATCTTTTTGTTCACACTTTTTTTTTATTTCTTCTTTACAATTTTAAAATCTCAGATTTTTTTTTTTTTTTGCATTTCCTTTCATTTTTATTTATATTTACTATTGACTTTTATTTTATTTTTTATCTTTGATTTTTTTATATCTTTTTTTTTCTATATTTATTATATATTTTTTGGTATATTCTAAACTAAAAGTTTTTTCTATTTTATATTTGAAATTTTTATTTATTTTGTCTTTTTATATATTTTTTATTTTCTTACTTTTTATTTTTGTTTTTGTTTATTTTTAATTGTTATTTTTTAGTATTTTTATTTATTTTACTTCTTTTATATTAATATTGTTTCTTTATTTATTTTTTTTTTTATTTTTATTTATTTTAAAAATTTGTATAAACTTCAAAATTTTTATTTTTATTTTGTTGAATTTATTTTATTTTATTTTGTTCTTTTTTTTTGCTATTTTTGTCTATTTATAATTTTCAATAACTTTTCCTTAAATTTTTTTTCTTTTTTCTTATCTTTTTATAGCTTTTATTTTTATTTGTTTTAATTTTTCTTGTTTTAAAATTTTTTAATTTTTTTTTATTTCAAATTTTTTGTTTTTATTTTTATTCTTTTTCTTGCTTTTCTAATTTTTTTTGCAAATTTCTTTTTATTTCTTATTTGTGTTTTTAAATTCTCATACTTTTTTTTTGCATTTTCTTTGGTTTTCATTTTTATTTTGCATTAACTTTTCTCTTTTTTAGTTTTCTATCTTTGATTTTTTATATTGTTTTCTTATTATTTCTTATATGTTTTTCAATTTCTTTTGTATTTTTTAAACTATTTTTTTTTCATTTTGTCATTTCTTTTCATTTTTCAAATTTTATTCAATTTTTATCTTTTTTATTTTCTTACTTTTTATATTTTTTATTATATTTTTGTTTATTTTTTCTTTTCTTATTGGTATTGATTTTTTCCTTTTTTTTTGTACTCTATTTATCTTTTTTCTTTTGCTTTAATATTTTTTCTTATTTTATTTTTATTTTGGTTTATTTTTTATTTTTTATTTATATTTTCATAAATTTTTATAATATTTCGGATTTTTTTTTCTTTTTTAATTTATAATTGTTGGTTATTTTCTATTTGCATTTTTTAATTTTTCATAACTTTTTTTCGTTTTTATTTTTTTCTTTTTCTTACATATTTTTTTTGTTTGCGCTTTTTTCTTTGTTTTAAAATTTCTATCGAACTT